ACGTACGCGTGATTCGATTCAAAGAAGGGTCTTTAAATATAAATAGAAGCGGTAACAATAAAATCATGCAATAAAAATGTATTTTACAAATCAAAATAATCAAGCCGAATATAACAGTTGAGCGACCGTGCTAGAACCACGGAACTCGGGAATGCCTAACACCTTCTCCCGGGTTAACAGAATTCCTTATCCGGATTTCTGGTGCGCAGACTGTTAAATAGACAGAGTCATATTCTCCTCGATTCAGGGATTAAAACCGGTGACTTGGGACGCCTTAAAATTCCCAGGTGGCGACTCTGAAACAAACAAACAAATCCCGTTTCGACTGTCCTTTAATTAGAGAAAACTCCCTACGCACCCTCGCGGGGGCGGAAAAAGGAGGTGCGACAATGACCCAAAATCCGGCTAGTCGTGATGGCACCTAACCCAACTCACTAGGTAAGCCAATTAACAACTATCAAATTCTAATAAATTTATAAAACAATTAAATAGACCCAATGATTGGTAGTACAAATCATGAGCCTTTAAGATTAGAATTTACAAAGATGGCATGGAATAAATAAATCATCTGTTCGAAAAGTACACAAACAGATTTTTATATTCTAAGGTTACCATGAATAAGAGGCAGCTACAACTGGAACACAAGTACGTCTTCAATTCCAGCTCCAGTCGATCACAGCAACATCAACATCCAACATTTGCATGCAAGGTGCAGAAGTGCAGTATGAGTACAACCGACCCTATGTACTCAATAAGTAACAAATTTAATCTTAGGCTAAAAGTAGTGATAAGGTGGAACAAAGATCGGGTCCAACACCAATAGCCAACAACAGTTCATAACAACGTAAAGCAAGTAATAAAAGAAGTAACTGAGAGATAAAATGCTCAGCTTTTTCATAGCTTCCCGAAAAATAGTTCCATTTTCAAGTATATCAGTGAAAACCCAAATCCTTTACCGAAATCGTTGAAAATACGAGTAAGTTTGAAAATTGCAATGTCACGACCCTAAAACCGACCCGGTCGTGATGGCGCCTATCGCAAAACTAGGCCAGCCCACACGAATCCCAATTCAAACTATAAATTTATAAAAGACAGTTTTAAGCTATTAATTGATAATATCTCATAACATGGGTCTAAATAACGAGTGCGGAAGAAAATAACACAAGCACGATATCAGGGTATCACAAGTCATGAGCAACTACAAGATCCGTCTAAGTACAATAAAGGCTAAAAAAAGTCTGGAAGACAATACTAATATAATCTAGGGAAGATATGAGGGAGAAGAATAGGGCTACAAATGCCATGCAGCTACCTTGTCGACTCCAGACTTGCTGAATGAATGATCAGTGCTCGCTATCAAGACCCGCAACTCCTGGATCTGCACACAAGGTGTAGAGCGTAATGTGAGTGCCCCAACTCAGCAAGTAATAAAATTAAATGAAAGCTGAGTAGTAAGAAAACAGATAATTACATGTCATAGCACTACAACAAATACAACACATTTCCAAAAAACAGTACTGAAATCAATTTTCTCGTAAAACAAACTTAGTTTCAGTAAAAACCTTTTCTTTTAAAAACATCTTTCAATATTTTCAAACAAGTGATGAAATAGTGAGTAAAAATGGTAGAAACATAAACAACCCCTCGAGCAAGACATGTACCAAAAATTGCCCCTCGGGTAAAATATCAATAGAACCAGCCCCTCGGGCAACCTCACAATCACTCGTAATCAGCCCCTCGGGCAATAACATGAATCAACAACAGCCCCCTCAGGCAACATCACATCACTCCCACTGGGTACTCACGCTCACTGTGGGTGTTCAGACACTGGAGGGGCTCCTACAGCCCAAGTGCTATAACAAGCCATCTCATGGCATAATAAATCAGGCCCTCGGCCTCTCATATATCAAAAATTTGTACAACATGTTGCGAGGAGCAGCACAATCCCATGATATCCTCACAAAAAAGGCCCTCGGCCTCACTCAGTCAGAAACCACTCAAGTCACTCAAGTTACAGTAAAACAGAATGATCAGCCCAAAATATCATTTATAATACCAAACAGAGTAAATGAGACCGAGTTATCAAATCAGTAAAACACTGCATGACTGAGTATAGATATTAAATCAAAAACAATGAGGAATAATAGTAAAAAGCCCCTAAGGGTCCAAAAAAGTTAGTATGAGGCCCAAATATGGCATTCGGCCCAAAACATAGTAATACTTTCCAAAGCACAATAGTATCAATTAGTTTTCAATCAAATACGCGACTTATTAGTCGTACGGGACGGACCAAGTCACAATCCCTAACAATGCATGTCCCCATGCTCGTCATCTAGCGTGAGCGACACCTCAAAGTAGTGAAACGATGTGAAATCTTGGGTTTCATACACTTAGTACAACATTAACAATCATTACATACCTCAAACCGGTTCAAACTCTAACCCGTGATGCCCTTGCCTCTCGACTCGGTCTCCAAATGCTCCAAATCTAACAAAAATCAGTATATTATCATCAATATACGCTAAAGGAACAAATCCCAAGCGAAAATAATCAAATTAACTCAAAAATTCCGAAATTGGTCAAACCCGACCCCCGAGCCCATGTCTCGGAATTCGATAAAAATCATATCACAAGAATCCTTATACCCTAACGATTTTATACATACCAAAATCTTTAAAATCGGACCTCAAATGGCCCCTCAAATCCCCAATTTAAACTCTCCAATTGCAAACCTTAATTCTCCAATTTATCCCCAATTTTCGCACAAATTTCATGTCTAATCAGTTGGAAATCACCATAAAATCGAGTATTGAGTTCAAAAACCTTACCTCCAAGTGTTACCCCTCGAACCCCCCTTCAAATCCTCTAAAAACCTCCAAGTCCGAACACAAATGGTGGAAAAATGACCAAATTTCACGAAGGCAAGAATTTATATGTTTTGCCCAGGGGTTCCGCATCTGCGGTCCAAATACTGCATCTGCGGTCCCAGCACCTGCGACCAAACATCCACATATGCTGAACTTCATCCCCTATCCGCACCTGCGATCAATACACCGCACCTGCGGGCTCGCAGGTGCAACTCACCTTCCGCATCTACGATGCATCCCCAGCCAACCAACCTCCTCTCCTGCGATCTAAATGCTGCTTCTACAGCTTGCACCTGCGGTCCCCAATCTGCAGGTGTAGTTATTACAGAAATACGATAGCTTCAGCTGCAACTCAATTTTCCAACTCTCTGATAACCCGTCGAAATCATCCCGAGGCCCTCGAGACCTCAACCAAAACCTACCAAAAAGTCATATACCACTACCCAAACTTGTTCAACTCTCGGAATACTCAAAACATTTGAAACATGAAATCACCCTCGAATTCAAGCTTATGAATTCCAAAACATCCGAATTCCGCAAACGATGCAAAAACCTATCAAATTTCATCCGAAATACCTGAAATTTTGCACACACATCCCAAATGACACAACGGACCTACCCCCATTTCCGGAATTCCAATCCGACCCCGATATCAAGATTTTCACTGCCGACCGGAAAATGCTAAATTTCGACTTTTGCCAATTCAAGCCTAAATCTACCTCGGACTTCCAAAATACATTCCGATCACGCTCCTAAGTCCCAAATCACCTAACGAAATTATCCAAACTATGAAAATTGAATTTCGAGATCATTTACTTATAAGTTAACTTCCGATTGACTTTTCTAGTTATAGCTTTCAAATGAGAGACTAAGTGTTTCATTCCACTCTTAGACCACTGCGCACACAACACAACCAACACGATATGATGAAATACCGCTGAAAAACACACAAAGAAGCAGAAATGGGAGAAACAGAGCAGTAACTCATGAAATGACACCCTGATTCGTTACATCCTCCCCTACTTAAACAAACGTTCGTCCTCGAACGAGTCAAGAAACATACCTGAAACCCCCAAATAGGTGCGGATATTTGCTCCGTATCTTCTGCTTGGTCTCCTAGGTAGCCTCCTCCACGGGCCAACCTCTCCATTGCACTTTCACTTAAGCTATATCCTTTGATCTCAACTTTTGGACCTGCCGCTCCAATATAGCCACTAGCTCCACATCATAAGTCAAATCACTATCTAACTGAACCGTGTTGAAGTCCAAAACATGTGACGGGTCACTAATATATTTCTGGAGCATAGAAACATGAAACACCAGATGCACACTCGACAACCTAGGTGGTAAAGCAAGCTCATAAGCCACCTCCCCAATCTTCTGAACTACCTCAAAAGGCCCAATGAACCGAGGACTCAATTTACCCTTCTTCCCAAACCTCATAACACCCTTCATGGGTGAGACCTTCAGTAGAATCTTCTCCCCAACCATGTAAGACACATCGAAACTTCCTGTCAACATAACTCTTTTGTCTCGAGTGCGCTGTACGAAGCCGCTGCTAAATCACTTTCACTTTGTTCAAAGCATCCTGCACCAAGTCTATACCAAAAAGCCTAGCCTCTCCCGACTCGAACCAACCAACTAGAGATCTACATCGCTTCCCATATAAAGCCTCATATGGAGCTATCTGAATACTCTACTGATAACTGTTGTTATATGCAAACTCCGCGAGCGACTGAAACTAATCCCATGAACCCCCAAAATCAATGACACAAGAGCGCAACATGTCCTCCAATATCTAAATAGTGTGATCAGACAGCCCATCCATCTGAGGGTGAAAAGATGTGCTCAACTCAACCTAAGTACCCAACTCTTGCTGCCCAGCTCTTCAAAACTGTGAAGTAAACTGAGTACCTCTATCTGAAATGATGGAAACTGGGACACCATCAAAGCAAACAATCTCTCGGATATAAATCTCTACTAACCGCTCTGAAGAATAGGTAGTACATACAGGAAGGAAGTGCGCGGACTTGGTCAGCCGATCTATAATCACCCAAATAGCATCGAACTTCTTCAAAGTCTGTGGGAGTCCAACAACAAAATCCATGGTGATCCACTCCCACTTCCACTCTGGAATATCTAACCGCTGAAGCAAGCCACCCGGTCTTTGATGCTCATATTTCACCTGCTGACAATTGAGACACCGAGCTACAAATCTTATAATATCCTTTTTCATTCTCCTCCACTAATAATGGTATCTTGGATCCTGATACAACTTCGCGGCACCTGGATGGATGGAATACCGCGAGCTATGGGCCTTTTGTAGAATCAACTTCCGAAGCCCATCTACATTGGGCACACATATCCGACCCTGAATCATCAACACCCCATCATCACTAATAGTCACATCTCTGGCATCGTTGTTCTGAACTCTGTCCTTGAGGACAAGAAAATGGGGATCATCATACTGGTGCTCTCTGATGCGATCAAACAAGGAAGACCGAGAAACCACACAAGCTAAGACCCGACTGGGCTCCAAAATATCCAACCTCACAAACCGATTGGTCAAGACCTGAACATCAACTGCGAGAGGTTTCTCCCCAATAGGAATATATGCCAAACTGCCATACTCACCTCCTACCTACTCAAGGAATCGGCCACTACATTGGCCTTACCCGGATGGTAGAAGATAGTGATATCATAGTCCTTTAGCAGCTCCAACCATCTTCGCTGCCTCAAATTGAGATCCTTCTGCTTTAATAAGTGCTGGAGGATACGATAATCAGTAAACACCTCACAAGACACACCACAAAGATAATGCCTCCAAATCTTTAACGCGTGAACAATAGCAGCCAACTCTAGATCATGAATATGGTAGTTCTTCTCATGGGGCTTCAACTGACGAGAAGCATAAGCAATCACTCTACCCTACTACATCAACACACACCCAATACCAACTCTCGAAGCATCATAATACACTGCATATGAACCTGAAGCTGATGGCAAAACTAACACTGGGGTTGTAGTCAAGGCAGTCTTGAGCTTCTGAAAGATCACCTCACACTTATCTTGCCACCTGAATGGAGCACCCTTTTGAGTTAATTTGGTCAAAGGTGATGCAATAGACGAAAATTTCTAAATGAATCGATGGTAATAACCTGGCAAACCAAGAAAGCTGCAAATCTCTGTGGCTGAGGATGGTCTGGGCCAGCTCTGAACCGCCTCAATCTTCTTTGGATCAACCTGAATACCCTCACTAGACACCATGTGCCCTAAGAAAGCCACTGAAATGAGCCAAAACTCACACTTGGAGAACTTTGCATAAAGCTTCTCCTTCCTCAACCGCTGCAACACAGCTCTCAAATGATCAGCGTGCTCCTCCAGACTACGTGAGTACACTAGAATATCGTCAATGAAAACAATCACAAACGAGTCGAGATAAGGCCGAAACACGTTGTTCATCAAATACATGAACGATGCTGGGGCATTGGTCAGCCCAAAAGACATCACAAGGAACTCATAATGACCATATTGGGTTTTGAAACACGTCTTAAGAATAACAAAGTCCCCAATCTTCAACTGGTGATACCCTGACCGGAGGTCAATCTTGGAGAAGACTCTCGCTCCCTTAAGCTGGTCAAATAAAACATCAATACGAGGCAATGGATACTTGTTCTTGGTTGTAACTTTGTTCAAATGCCTATAATCAATGCAGATTCTCATCGTACCTTCCTTCTTCCTAACAAATAAAACATGAGCACCTAAGGTGACACACTAGGCCAAATAAACCCCTCATCAAGGAGCTCTTGAAGCTGCTCCTTCAACTCTTTCAATTTCGCCGGTGCCATACGATACAGTGGAATAAATATGGGCTAAGTGCCCGGCACCAAATCAATACCAAAGCCAATATCCCTGTCCGGTGGCAGGCTTGTAGGAAACACATCCGAAAGTCCCTCACTACTGGAACAAAAAAAATGGTAGGAGTCTCTGCACTGACATCTCTCATATAGGCTATGTATGAAATACACCCTTTCCCAACCATCCGCTGGGCCTTCAAAAATGATATCACCCTACTAGGGACAAAATTAGTCATAGCTCGCCACTCAATCCATGGCACATCTTCCATAACCAACATCACTATCTTAGCATGACAGTCCAGAATAGCACAATACGGAGATAACCAATCCATGCCCAATATCACATCAAAATTGACCATATAAAACAAAAGAATGTCCACTTGGGTCTCCAAACCCCCAATGATCACCACACACGATCGATATACGCGGTCCACAACAACCGTATCGCCCACCGAAGTAGATACACAAACAAATGAAATAAGAGACTCACGGGGCGTATCCAAATAACGAGCAAAATATGATGACATATATGAAAAAGTAGAACCAGGATCAAATAACATAGAGGCATCTTTGTGGCAAACTGAGACAATACCTATAATCACTGTATCTGAAGCAATAGCATCGGCTCTAGCTGGGAGTGCACATAAACGGGCCTTACCACCACCTGATCGACCTTCCCCTCTAGGGCGACCTCTACCTGACTATCTTTTACCCCTAGCTTGCTGGCTAGGTGGTGAAGTAACTGGTGCTAGAGGTTATGGCTGACTCCTCTACTGAGACAGGCCCCCAAGATAAGGAGGACACTGCCTCCACATATTCCCCAACTCTCCACACTCATAACAACCCCCTTGTGATAGAGACGGGGACTGAAGGGAACCCCTAGCATGGGATGACTAGCAGAAGAACCTGGCATGGAAGAGCTCTAAACTGATGGAGCACGGGACAAACTCTAGGCTGGAAGGGCACTAAGTGAGGAATGGCCCTGATGAGAACTGTGAGAACTATGGCCTGATGATGGCCCACGATAAGTTGGGCGAGCCGACTGAGCATGCCTGAATACACGGCCTTTACCGTGCTGAAATTAACCCCCATGAGGAGCACCACTGAATCCACCCTGACCACGAGGCCTCTTACCCTCCCTCTCAACCCTCTCCTAACCACAAACCATCTCAATTTGTTGAGCTATGTCAACAACCTCATCAAGGGTAGCATCGGATACTCTCTCTCTGGTGATGAGCAACCGAAGCTGAAAACCGAGGCCAACTATAAACCTCTTAATCCTCTCTCGGTTTGTGGGAACCAACCAGACCGCATGATGAGACAACTCGGAGAACCGCATCTCATACTATGTAACAGATCTATCACCCTAATAAAGCTACTCGAACTGCCTGCGTAGTTTCTCTTGGCAAGACTCAGGTACAAACTTCTCCAGGAAGAGAACGGAGAATTG